TTTGTCCAGATACTGGAAGATTGCAGCTTCTTCGAATAGTGAACCATTTCAGTAATGCTTCTTCAACATCCTTGTGATCTGCTTTTCTCAATTTTTTTCTGTTATCTAAATTTATTTCATGAACAGAAATTATTAATTTCCTATTTTTCCATGTGTTACAAACTGCAGATTTGGATAGTTTATATTCCCTACAAATATCAACTTGATTGCATCCATTTTCAATTTTTCTGATTATGCCCATTTTATCATCAATGGAGAACGTTTTACGTTTACTGCTCGCCATAGTTAAATTTGAGACACTTGTTTGCAGGCCTTTTTTTTAAAACTGAACTGAGAGCAAAAAGGAGTTGAAATGTGGGCCTTATCAACACATATTAGTGTCCAACCCTTTGACCAATAATGAATAATTACTCATTTCCTCTGACAGAAAATGCATATTGATCCCACTGACATCTTACAGGTGCATCATCTGCCTGGGATGAAAACATTTGCTTGGTTTGCTTAGGGATGGGAAATTGAGCAAACAAGAAAAAATGCTTATTGTTACATTTCCCTCTATAGATGGTTTTAAAAATCGGTATATGTATTTATTTTGAAGTAGAAATTTCAAAATTATTACAGAAAAAAATGAAGAAAAAAATCAGTCGAAGACAGAAAAAAGTTCATTATATCCAACTTCCTCACTTTTTTGGTTCACTATATCCACGAAAAATAACATTATACGTGTATAGCAAGGCACGGGACCAAACATTTCGTTCACTATATCCGGGAGTACACTATAAACTGTGTTCACAATAGCGGAGTTTGACTGTGTGATATCAACTTATCCAAAACGAATTTCATTAAAATTTACCAGTTCATTAAGTTCCAGAGATTAATAACCAAATCTGTAAAGTTCTCCAAACTTTTAACAGCGTAGATTTTGACTTTGTCATGATTGCAGCTGAATCTGGCATTTCTTTTAAATAAGCAATTTTTTTTAATGTATTTTATCAGGTTTCTAATGAATGCACAAAGCTAATGCATTAATAACTTTTGATCTAATGATTGAATTTTCACGCAGAAGACAGAGTTAAAAATAGCAAATTTTTTCAGTGCCAGAATGTAAAGTACATTTTTCGATAATAACAAATAGAACTCTTTCGAAACTTTTGTTTCCAACTGATTGTTTTAGAATCATATTCAAATTAAAGTAAACTTTTTATTTAATTAATTCATTTATTAATTATTTAAGATTTAATCTGTAGTCTTCTTTGCGTTCGAAAGTTTTTTTCATGTAATTAGCAAAAGAAATAGTATTAAGGAAGAAATATTCCCCCAAAATTTGTGAAACCTTTAAATAATTAAAATAATTTTTTCTTTTACAGTTTAAAGACGTTTTAAAAATTGAAGGAGATATTCATCATGTTCGACTGGCAGTAAAAGTCAAGTGCGTACTACTCATATATTTTATTTTAATCTGTGCAAAATTTCTTAATTTTATTAATTGAAGATGCTTTCTTTTAATTTTAAATTCTTTAAAACCTTTGTGTTTTCTTTAAGAGTTAAGTTAATATGAGTTT